AATTTCAGGACACCCTGTATATCATAGCTGCCGCGATTTTACTTACGAGTTCGGCGGCCATCTAGTGGCAGCACCAAACTTTATATAAGCGCCTGGCCAAATAATATAATTATTTCATTGAAAGATATTACTTCAAATAATAGTGTTTTTTCTATCAAATAATACAGGTTGTTTGAATAAAACAACAGAATTCTTATTCAAAACATATAATGTTTCGTATAAGCATATATTGTTTTAATGAAACAAATTTCAACCAAATAAATAGGAATACTAAATCCAAAGAAACCTTTCTCTCTGTGTAGACGTGAAATACTTTTAAGGGCCGTTAAATAAGGGCATACGTTTGAGAAGGGTTTTCTCAATCTTGTTGTCTCGATCTTCAGTTACAACGATCCTTCAAGATGCTCGCTCTCTCAGCGTATCACATTGCGTGCATGACTCGTCAGGAAGTAACAATAGACGGTCGTAATGGAAGGGCAGTTATTGAAATAGAACTTAACGGTAATAGACTCGTCGACCAACCCACTAAATAAACAGTTGAGAAACGTATCTGCCGTTCGGCGGTTTTAGGATTCATAAAAAAAAAAGAAGAAGAAGAAGAAGCTGAAGCATCTTGGTCGTTTCGTGAAAAAGGGAACGAGGTCGACTCGGTCCTCGCAGGATTTAGAGAGCTTCCGGGTCGCGCCCCGTTGTCTCTGCGATCTCGTTAATACCTCCGACCTACAAGGCATTTCTTCCGCGTTAATCCGACGTGTACGCACAGTGAAAGTCATTTCGTGAAGACACCTCGGGTTCGGGCGTCGACGACAAATGGATTCCTTTCGGCAACGCATCGTGTTTGCTCGCGAACGCCGTTCTAACAGCACCTGGGACATTCCCGCGTTTAAATCGTTAGAATACGCTCGAAAGTAACGCGCAACTCTCGTTCTAGAGCCTGCGTTCCGATCCCACTCGGTCGAAACTTTGCCTCGTACGAATCTTTTAGTGCCTACCACATGGGAGGCCTGAAATAAATGAAAATGCGCCAAGTACTTAGTATTTTAATCCGTTACTCTGATTCAAAGACACCGTCTATTGCAACAAAATGTTTGGGCCAGTGATAAAGGCTTGCCTAAAGTCAAGTGGCGAAATATCGCGGAAAGAACTCGCGAGTCGTTACTTTAACATTGTCTAGAGCGCGATTGTAAGAATGAACTGCACAATGTACGAGTACGTTCGCGTAAATTTCGTCGGAACTCATTGCGATGTCGCGGTGTGACGTCGAGATAGAGAACCGCGATGTGTTGATCTGATGGTCCCAGGTGTGGACCATCCAAGGAAGAGTAGAATAGAGCTGGTCAGTCTACTCCGATGGTCCCGTTCTCGCGATAAGGAGGACTCTAGATCTAAGTGCCGTTACGATTTTCGATTTACGATCTAACGTCACCGATCGCGACGCGACGTTTGATAGCGGGTCCTCTGCATACGAGTCTTCGAGCCGTTACTTGAGATAAAGGGAGTACCGCGGAAATAATACTCGATATAGATAAAAGGGTGTTGCGGCGAACGTGTCGCCTTTCGTCGAGCTTCTTCGTCGCTCTAATCTCATGAAAAAATCGAGACGCCCGAGCTTGTCGACGTACACGATCGGAAGTCGGAATTACCGTTCGCCAGCCAGAGCGCTGTCGTTAGTCCCTGATTTGTGCGCGGCGCGGCCTTTGTTTCCAGACGAAAACAGGGTTACTCGAACGGTCGTAAGTTTCGCCCGCCGGCTGAAAATTCGCCGGCGCAAGGCCACAAATTCCGTCGTCGGCGACAGCGACGGCAGCGGCAGCGGCAGCGAGCCGAGCGGAGCGGAGCCAAGCCGGTGCTGTGTGCCGTGCCGTGCCGGGTTGAGCGAGACGATAATTTCACAGCAAAGTGTACCACGGGACCCGGTGGTACCTTTACACCTCGTTTCGAAAGCTCCCATTCTCCCGTTCGCAATCCTCTGCCGTCTTCGGCGCGCTTCTCTCTCTCTCTCTCTCTCTCTCTCTCTCTCTCCCTCTCCTCCGCTGCCTATGCCCCCCTTGTCCCCCCGCCGTATGTCTTCTTTCCTCTTCATTCTTTCTTTTTTTTTTCTCTCGATGCCCGGTGCATACACGCGTGTGTACGTGAGCCTTCGGCGATGTTTACGAGGCGCCATGTCTCCAAGTCAACGGCCCCGTGATTTCTCCATTCATTTCCTTCGCCGCTATCGCCGCCGATCTTTTACATGCGCGCCGATCTAGCGGCGCGCCGATAAATACTCGCGTGCATCACAAGTTGACCGCGATATCGATCTCGGGATTAGCCAACGCGAATTCGCATTATGCTCCTATTCGGGTAATTCGAATCGGCTTCTTCAGTTTCGCACGCGATATTTAATATCGTGCCTGCATAGTTGTTAAATAACTTTCAGCTTGGCACTGTGCGACAAATTTATTTCATGGTCAGAGCAATAAATTGATAAAACAAAGTGAGTAAGCAGAGATTGGCAGTCAAATCTTTGGATGCGGTTTTGCGTGTAGAACGAGTAACGATGTGAAATTAATTTTACACAGAGAAGCAAGTAAGTTCAATTTAAAAAGTCAGTATACATGTATATCTTTTATTAACGAAAATTCCTTTATTGCCACTTTTGCATCGAGAAATACTATTGCAGCTTTTATAGATTGCACACATATTTTGATGAATTATAAAACTCTCTAATTTATTCAAATTTTCACCGTACAAATAACAGATTGCATTTACCTTACAAAGTATTACTTTGTGAAATCATGAAAAGTGCGAAATCACCTGTAAAAATTGTAGAGAGAATCGTGACAAAACAATGAAAGGTTGATAAAATGAAAGCAATTTAAGATCGAAAAACGGTTGTGGCGAAGCTAGCTCAGTTTAGACGAATTGACGAGGAATTGGTGACGCATGCACGCTTACATTCAGCTTACATCCTTCGCACGTGCACCTCGCGACATTGAGATGCTTCTGCTACCTTTCACGAGAGGCTCCTGCGTTCGGAGGAGAGCCCTCTTCCACTTCTCGCGGATGCCCCACCAGGGCATTCAGGAAAGATCCTCCCGCCGTGGATTTCCTTTCTTTCTCTCCGTCAGAATGACGTTCGGTGGGGAGACCTTAGCCACGCCTCCGTCAATAGGTACTCCACGGGTACAGATTTTGTGATACGTCAACTTTCGCTAAACATAGATCGACCGCGAGCATTCGGCTTGGAAAGGGAGACTCTCCGAAGTGTCTAACGCTTGTTTCAAGTAGTGAGGGCCGGACTAATCAGACGAGTCGGTCATTGCGGACCATTATACTACTTATTGTTAAGCATATGCGCACTTGACGCGTGCACATCACCGCGCGTTCAAGTCTCCGAATCCAAGTATCGATAAAAACGCATTGTCACCCTCTCGTCTTTTTCGAGCAATAGCTTTTTATTTATATTTCCTTATATATCCGATACTTCAATTTTATAATTGATAATCAAGCAATGTGGCGAGCGTGGCACAGAGAATGTGCGCTGCTTAGTAAACAAAATGAACGAAAAGATCCGAGTTCAAATTCAATCACGGACACCGTTGCTTTTTTCGGACGCCACCTCTC